CCCTGCCTTCCACTCTTGGTAATGATCACAAATCCTCCTCCATTGATAACACAGAAGCTCCCTTTCTGTGGCTCCCCCAACTATCCATTAGCCCACCTAAAACATATCCTTATCTAAAGCTATCTTTATTTTTCTTCCTGGCTCAGAGTTATGTCAACCCCTCTACCTAAGCGCTTGATCCCATCCCTGCTTATCTCCTCTGGGAACCGGCATGGTACCTGACAAATAGCTGATGCTCAAAAACTTTTTTGAATGAATAATGGCTCTTGCTCCATCAATTCCCTCCCCTTTTTCTCTTCGGTATATCCAGCTTCTTTCATGTTTTTTTGGATCCTTTCTCTTAGCCTATATGTATGGTCAAATAATTTCTTGTCTGTGATGGTCAGTTTTATGTGTCAACTTGGCTAGGTTATAGTATCCAGTTATTCAATTAAACTGCTAACTTTTTATCTAAGATTTTATCTAAAGCCCAGTAACATGAGACACCACACTTTCTACTCATTTTCTATTTGACAGTACCTCTAGGTGTTGCTGTGAAGGTATTCTTTAGATGGGATTATCAGCTACAATTACTTGACTTTATGTGGAGAAGATTATCCTGGGTAATTTGGGTGACTGATCCAATCAGTTTAAAAGGCCTTAAGAACAGAACTGAGGTTTCCCTGAAGAGAGGAAGAAGAAGAAATTCCACTTGTGGGCTGTGGCCTCAGCTCCTGCCTGAGAGCTCCCAGCCTGCCCTTCCTAATGGTCTGCCCTCTGGATTTCAGACTTGCCTATCCAACCCCAATAATCAAGTAAGCCAATTTCTTTCAATAAACCGCTTAGAAATTTATTTACATTTATATATTTATATTTATATATACTGGGAGTGCCTAAAAAATGTATGCACACGACTTGTATTCATCTTTTGTTATTGGTATATATTGAGCATTACATTTAAATAGTTTTTTCCTTTCTTAAAATGTGTATACATTTTTTTTGTGGCACCCTCTGTATGTTCATATATATGTATATTATAAAATCTCCTACTAGTTATGTTTGACTGGTGGAACCCTCACTGACACACTATCCTTAAAATCAGAACAAAACAATATTCTGCTTCATCCTGCACCTTGCTCTTACCACGTAAACTCTGTCTTTCCTTCTCATCTAAGCTTCGAAAAATATTGTCCTATATTCACCATCTCTACTTCCTCCTTTGGCAATCACCCTCTGAGCTATAGCCCCATTTATTCACCTGGTGAATTGGATATATTCTGGTGGACAGACCATGGGCAATCTCAAACTCATATATCGAAAGTTATTTCACTATCCCTGCCTAAAACCAGCCTTCTTTTGAATGCCATTTCTCAAACTCAAGGCAAAAATCTGGAAGTCATACTAGACACCTAAATATCTAAATAACAGACATCTAAATAAGTCATACCATCCATCTTCAGTGCCTGTGCTTGAATTCAGGCCCTCACAATGTCTTACCTCAGTTTCTGTAATAGACTCCCTTACCTCCAGCCTCATTTCCTTTAAATCTGTTCTCCAGCGTGGTCTTCCTCTGATGCAAGTGTAACCACACATGAACATCATTCTTCAGCATGCATTTTGCTTTAATCCAAGCTCACTTTGTTTAGCCTGATAGAACTTGAAAGCGCTCACTTGCATTCTTTTCCCCATGTCCTCCTACCTGTTCAAATACTGTGTGTCCAGTCCTTTTAATCATTAAGCCTTTAGGACATTAGGTTCTGGTCAGCATCAAACCCACTGAAGACTAAAGCTTCAGGTCTATCAACCATGACCAAGATACAATAACCAAACCCCAAATTAGAATAAGGTTTTAGTCAAACATAGATGATGCCGTGGCCTCAGTTATGTTTCAGCTCCAGCTTCATGAAAGCAGAATGGCCCCATGGACCGCGCGTCCCTTGGAAACCAGACTGAACACCATGCCATGACTGACACCAGGACCTGAAGCTGTGATCAATTGCTCCCTGCCTTACCCCCGACCTATCAGTAGAGCCCACGACCCCAACTCCCTCAGTAACCATGATTAATGATTTTTCCCTTACATAACCTGGCGGCTAGAGGCCATTGGAGAGCCAGGTTTTTGAGAGCACTAGCTCACCTGTGTCTCTGGGCTTGGTGCCAACTCCTTAAGTAAACCTTTACTTTCTTTGCTGCAAACTCCTGCTCATGTCTTTTTTGGCTTGGATGAGCACAGGCAAGCCGACCTTTTGAGTTCACGGTAACACAAGGTAACCGAAATTGACCTGCCTAAGAATCAGTGACTCCTTTATGACCTTTGGCAAGGGCTCCTCAATAGGAGCTTTTAAAAAAACAGGTTAGAGGCCTACTTACACCTAATGAATGTGAATTTCCAAAGTAGTACCTGAAAAATTCTATTTTTAAAAGCTATCCAGGTAATTATGATCAGCTAGGTTCAGGAACCACTAGTCTTCAGGGTAAAATTCAAATTCTGCCCATGATCTCACACCACTACCCCCAGCTTCATCCCTCAGCACACATTATGCTCCAGCAGTGCTGATCCAGCACTAGTGCTTCTTCCAACCCACGCGGAATAACACCTCTTTGCCAGGAATGTCCTTCTTCCCTTATCTGCCTGGGAAAATCCTATTCATCTTTCAAATAACTCTATTCAAACATCATCTAGTATCTTATTCAGCCAGTGAATATTGATAAACTCATGACATTGTACACAACATGTGCCTTTCTTTGTATATCAATTACACTTCAATAAAGCTGTTAAAATTTATTGAGGTCCTACTATATGCCAGGCTCTGAGAGCAGCATTGAAATATGAAGATCAGCAAGCTATATTAGTAGTACTGCCTTCAGTAAGCTCACATGCTATTGGAGGAGACATACAAATACACAAATTAATACACTGAGGTAAATTCTGTGAGAGTCTTTGGTAGACTGAAAGATGTTCCCCCCACCCCCAATAATGTCCATATCCTAATTCCCAGAATCTATGACATACTACCTTACATACAAAACAGATTTTGTGGATGTGATTAAGTTAAAGATTTTGAGATGAGGGCATTAACCTGGGTTATTTTAGTGGGTTCTATGTAATCACCAGGATCCTTTTAAGAGGGAGACAGGAAGGAGGGTGAGAAAATGAGAGGGTAGAGGGAGACTGGAAAACGCTATGCTACTGACTTTCAAAATGGAGGCTAGAGACATGAGCTAAGACATGCAGATGGCCTCTAAAAGCTAAAAAAAGCAAGGAAGTGACTTCTCCACTAGAGCCTCCAGAAGGAACCAGCCCTGATGACTCTAGTCCAGTGAGGTTGATTTTGGACTTCTGACCTTCAGAAATGTAATCTAACTGTGTTGTTATAAGTGACTACATTTGGAATAATTTGATATAGCAGCAACAAGAAGCTAATACAGAGGGCAACACAGAGCACTGCTGTAGTACATAAAGGGGGGAAGGGGTC